ATTGAGATGCTGTGGCATGACCTTAAAAAGGCAGTTCATGCTTGAAAACCTTCCAATGTGGCTGAATTACAACAATTCTGCAAAGATGAGTGGGCCAAAATTCCTCCACAGCGCTGTAAAAGACTCATTGCAAGTTATCGCAAACGCTTGATTGCAGTTGTTGCTGCTAAGGGTGGCCCAACCAGTTATTAGGTTGTAGGGGGCAATCACTTTTTCACACAGGGACATGTGGGTTTGGATTTTGTTTTCCCTTAATAATAACAACCTTCATTTCAAAATTGCATTTTGTGTTTACTTGTGTTATCTTTGACTAATATTTTAAATTTGTTTGATCTGAAACATTTAAGTGTGACATGCAAACAAATAAGAAATCAGGAAGGGGGCAAACACTTTTTCACACCACTGTATATTGCTTTGTTTCTTTTCCAGTTACATTCACGGAATAAATGTGTTACTTATGATACTAAAACCTACATTAAAAATGTTACTGACAGAAACTGAGGTACCTTTTCAATATCTTTGTAGCTAGTGATTGTTCAAGTTCCAGATGCACGAGGCTTGGCTTAATAAAAATAATTTATCAGTCTACAACATGAGCCCAATCCTGGGTTACTGTACACATATGGCATCAGTGGATGATTGACCGATTATACAGCAAGTCAGTGTTAATAATAATAAATATTATTAATAAATATTATTGTCAGTGTTGGGACGTATGTGATTAGGCAGAGTGAAAGATAATCTGTATGTGGGTCAGTCACAGCCTGCACAGGCCCATCTCTTTAATTAAACACATCAATCCCTAATATTCATAGATGAGCCTCTGGGGCCGTACTCATAAAGCATCTCTGAGTCTGAGTACTGTTCTAGGATCATGTCCTCCCTGTCCATATAATGTTATCCACTATGATCTTAAAGGCTTATCTTATCCTAGATCAGACAGCACTACTACTCTGAGACACTTAAAGACACACTATGCAGATATCGCTCCACCATTTCCTGGTTGCTAAAATGTCAGTAGAAAATCATTGTACCATCTAAACCGCTGTAAAATATATTTTCCATAACCAACCACATTGTATTTCCAGCTGTTTGAAGCTGGTGTCCAAAACTGAAAGTAAACAAAAACAAAACTTAAGAACAGGAAGCATAGAAATAGCTTACATAGAACATATCTACCGCTTTTTAGACTTGCTTTCAATGAGAATGACAGATCTATAACTCACATTCCTATGTGAATTTGGTTGGGTCACCCAAAAAAGTACATATTGTAGCTTTAAAGAATACGGGCCCTAGTTTCCCCACTAACACCCTTAATGTCATTTCACACTCAGATTGGTCTATAGACTTGTCCTTGTAAATGAACAATTGACACTGGGTACAACCAAGGAGAAGAATTTAAACATTTATGTTGATGTGACCACAAAAGTCCCTTGGTGGTGATCTCACAATGGCAACAAGGAGAAAATACATCAAAGCATCAAAATGTAGCTTTACAAAATCTATTCTTAGTTTACCTGGTGAGATTGATTATGGAATAGGTGTATTACTACTGATTGTTCTCGACCCACAGGGGGCGTGTGTAACCATGAGCACTATCTGTGAGCCTGCGGATGCACCCCAAATGGCACCCTATTCCCTTTATAGTGCACTACTTTTGACCAGGGCCCATATAGGGAATAGGCGGCCATTTGGGACACAGCCCCCAGTGTTTGTACTATCAGGCTGTGGTAGTGTGGTTTGGGAGGGAGCAGACTTGGCCGTGCAAAAACCGTTAGCGTGAAATGCTTACAGAGTGATAACTCTACTCCATTACTGTTCCATAGCTTTGGACACTGTACACAGCATGATCCATTCACTCCACCATCCTGGCACTTCCTATACAACACTCTATAACAGTTGAAAACAAGTGTGTCTGCCTCTTAGAAGAAGCTTAAAACATTTTTTTGTTAAGTATATATATGTACAGTGGGGAGAACAAGTATTTGATAACCTGCAAAATCGGCAGTGTTTCCTTCTTACAAAGCATGTAGAGGTCTGTAATTTTTATCAAAGGTACACTTCAACTGTGAGAGACAGAATCTAAAACAAAAATCCAGAAGATCACATTGTATGATTTTTAAGTAATTAATTTGCATTTTATTGCATGACATAAGTATTTGATACATCAGAAAAGCAGAACTTAATATTTGGTACAGAAACCTTTGTTTGCAATTACAGAGATCATACGTTTCCTGTAGGTCTTGACCAGGTTTGCACACACTGCAGCAGGGATTTTGGCCCACTCCTCCATACAGACCTTCTCCAGATCCTTCAGGTTTCGGGGCTGTCGCTGGGCAATACGGACTTTCAGCTCCCTCCAAAGATGTTCTATTGGGTTCAGGTCTGGAGACTGGCTAGGCCACTCCAGGACCTTGAGATGCTTCTTACGGAGCCACTCCTTAGTTGCCCTGGCTGTGTGTTTCGGGTCGTTGTCATGCTGGAAGACCCAGCCACGACCCATCTTCAATGCTCTTAGTGAGGGAAGGAGGTTGTTGGCCAAGATCTCGCGATACATGGCCCCATCCATCCTCCCCTCAATACGGTGCAGTCGTCCTGTCCCCTTTGCAGAAAAGCATCCCCAAAGAATGATGTTTCCACCTCCATGCTTCACGGTTGGGATGGTGTTCTTGGAGTTGTACTCATCCTTCTTCCTCCAAACACGGCGAGTGGAGTTTAGACCAAAAAGCTATATTTTTGTCTTACCTTCTCGCATTCCTCCTCTGGATCATCCAGATGTTCATTGGCAAACTTCAGACGGGCCTGGACATGCGCTGGCTTGAGCAGGGGGACCTTGCGTGCGCTGCAGGATTTGAATCCATGACGGCATAGTGTGTTACTAATGGTTTTCTTTGAGACTGTGGTCCCAGCTCTCTTCAGGTCATTGACCAGGTCCTGCCGTGTAGTTCTGGGCTGATCCCTCACCTTCCTCATGATCATTGATGCCCCACGAGGTGAGATCTTGCATGGAGCCCCAGACCGAGGGTGATTGACCGTCATCTTGAACTTCTTCCATTTTCTAATAATTGCCTTCTCACCAAGCTGCTTGCCTATTGTCCTGTAGCCCATCCCAGCCTTGTGCAGGTCTACAATTTTATCCCTGATGTCCTTACACAGCTCTCTGGTCTTGGCCATTGTGGAGAGGTTGGAGTCTGTTTGATTGAGTGTGTGGACAGGTGTCTTTTATACAGGTAACGAGTTCAAACAGGTGCAGTTAATACAGGTAATGAGTGGAGAACAGGAGGGCTTCTTAAAGAAAAACTAACAGGTCTGTGAGAGCTGGAATTCTTACTGGTTGGTAGGTAATCAAATACTTATGTCATGCAATAAAGTGCAAATTAATTACTTAAAAATCATACAATGTGATTTTCTGGATTTTTGTTTTAGATTCCGTCTCTCACAGTTGAAGTGTACCTATGATAAAAATTACAGACCTCTACATGCTTTGTAAGTAGGAAAACCTGCAAAATCGGCAGTGTATCAAATACTTCTTCTCCCCACTGTGTATATATATATATATACACAAACAAACAAACAAACACCAGCAGGGCAGGTAACAAAATAGGTAGCACCTGGTGACCATTTGTAACTATCCATCTATTCATCCATTACAATAGCTGATGTAAACATGGACGGTGTTCCATCTCACTCATTCCTATGAGAACCTCAACAGTGGCAGTCGGAGCCAGAAATAGATGGTGCATATTGAGCGAGATATACAGTATATATACTGAACAAAAATATAAATGCAACATGTAAAGTGTTGGTCCCATTTTTCATGAGCTGAAATAAAAGATCCCAGAAGTTTTTCATACGCACATAAAGCATATTTCTCTCAAACGTTGTGCACAAATTTGTTTACATCCCTGTTAGTGAGCATTTCTCCTTTGCCAAGATAATTTATTCACCTGACAGGTGTGGCATATCAAGAAGCCGATTAAACAGCATGATCATTACACAGGTGCACCTTGTGCTGGGGACAATAAAAGGCCATTCTAAAATGTGTCTCAAGTTTTGAAGGAATGTGCAATTGGTATGCTGACTGCAGGAATGTCCAACAGAGCTGTTGCCAGAGAATTTAATGTTCATTTCTGTACCATAAGCCGCCTCCAACATCATTTTAGAGAATTTGGCAGTACATCCAACCGGCCTCACAACAGACCACGTGTAACCACGCCAGCCCAGGACCTCCACCTGCGGGATCGTCTTGAGGGGGGAGGGGGTATTTCTGTCTGTAATAAAGCCCATTTGTGTTGAAAAACTCATTCTGATTGGCTGGGCCTATGCCCTCCCAGGTCCACCCATGGCTGCGCCCCTGCCCAGTGATGTGAAATCCATAGATTTAGGCCTAATGAATTTATTTCAACTGATTGATTTCCTTCTATGTAGTGTAACTCAGTAAAATCTTTGAAACTGTTGCCTTTATATTTTTGTTCAACACACACCTCTGGTGACAGTCAACCACCATGAACTGATCTCTGATAATGAAACTTGATCGGCAAATAAATAACCCAAATAACCATTGCTAAAACCCTAACTTATCACTCCCACACCAAAAGGAGAATAGTTTTACATAAAGTTCTTACATTCAGGCAGACAATTGTGTAGTAAACTATCAGAAATGGCAATCAAATACATTGTGAAAACAGATTAGTCTTCTATACTATTCCTTTTTTGTCATCTTACAACGTGTAGTCCATCCATTGCTGTGCAGGAAACAGCTTTACCCTTGACCTCCTTTCCGTAACACTTATGACATATTCAATAATCCGGTCAAATCCCTAGTGGTGTTTTGCTCCTAATTTAGACAGTCCAATTCCTCTAATGGTTCTACCCCCACATGATGTCACGTACACCATTTGGCTGGGTGTGAATGAAGCTGTAGGCGAAGAATGAGTGGCTACAATGACACCCTATAGTGCACTACTTTTGACCAGGGGGCCAATAGGGCTCTGATCAAAAGTAGTGCACTGTATAGGGAATAGCGTGCCATTTGGGATGCAAAGATGGTAACAAAAACAGCAAGAAACACATGTAGCATGACATATGCCAATAGCAGAATGAATCTCTACAGAGTAAAATGCACATAGACAAACCACAGGGATATAATGGAAGATGACAATGTAAAAACTCAACCATCAACATTAATACAAACAATTATTACAACGAATGAAGCATAAGACAGGCAGGGTGGCAGGGTGAGGACGATACAGTGGGAGTATGTTGCCCAGTGCATTAAAACACTAATAAAAAAATGTATATCATCAAATATTCACACACATTATAGGTATAGAACATCCTGTATACATGTGGAAATGTCCACCTGACCTCATCGTGGTACACAGATAAAGTGGCATCACTCTGTTGTAGATACTATGGCTGACATGACTACATAAACAGGTACAGTAACTCACAGACGCAACCTGAAACACTGACAAAGGAAAACAGTTTAGGACACACTGTCATAATGTACACACTCTCTCAAAGTCACACACACACACAATGGAATGACCCAAAGGCTTGTGTTCTTTCTCACACAAGCACCACACTTCTTCTCCCACACCTCTAGGGCTTCCTGGTGCCAAGGGGCTGCCCTCCTGTACCCAGTAGGGTGACCCGACCCTGGGCCTGGCCATGGGGGCCCTATGCTGCCTCTTCCAGCAGACCCCTCTCTGTCAGGTGGGTCTTCAGGGAGTTGAAGATGTGGAGCTGCTGGTCCAGGCGCAGGGCTAGGAGTTGTTGGACCACCTTGGCAGGGTTAGGGCCCCTGGAGACAGAAGATTACACAATGGATCACATACAGGGTGACCTTATGACAGCACAAAGATGCCCCCAACAAAGGCCTGGTTAGTCAAACTGGTTGAGGCTGCAGCCTCATGTCTCTATACAACAGAGGACCCCCCTGGGAGAGAATTACAAATTATAAACTGGGTGGTTGGAGCCCAGAATGCTGATTGGCTGAGAGCCGTGGTATATCAGACCATCTACCACGGGTATGACAAAATGTATTTTTACTGTTCTAATTACATTGATAACCAGTTTATAATAGCAATAAGGCACCTCAGGGTTTGTGGTACAGTGGGGAAAAAATGTATTTAGTCAGCCACCAATTGTGCAAGTTCTCCCACTTAAAAAGATGAGAGAGGCCTGTAATTTTCAACATAGGTACACGTCAACTATGACAGACAAAATGAGAAAAAGAATTCCAAAAAATCACATTGTAGGATTTTTAATGAATTTATTTGCAAATGATGGTGGAAAATAAGTATTTGGTCAATAACAAAAGTTTCTCAATACTTTGTTATATACCCTTTGTTGGCAATGACACAGGTCAAACGTTTTCTGTAAGTCTTCACAAGGTGTTCACACACTGTTGCTGGTATTTTGGCCCATTCCTCCATGCAGATCTCCTCTAGAGCAGTGATGTTTTGGGGCTGTCGCTGGGCAACACGGACTTTCAACTCCCTCCAAAGATTTTCTATGGGGTTGAGATCTGGAGACTGGCTAGGCCACTCCAGGACCTTGAAATGCTTCTTACGAAGCCACTCCTTCGTTGCCCGGGCGGTGTGTTTGGGATCATTGTCATGCTGAAAGACCCAGCCACGTTTCATCTTCAATGCCCTTGCTGATGGAAGGAGGTTTTCACTCAAAATCTCACGATACATGGCCCCATTCATTCTTTCCTTTACACGGATCAGTCGTCCTGGTCCCTTTGCAGAAAAACAGCCCCAAAGCATGATGTTTCCACCCCCATGCTTCACAGTAGGTATGGTGTTCTTTGGATGCAACTCAGCATTCTTTGTCCTCCAAAACGACGAGTTGAGTTTTTACCAAAAAGTTCTATTTTGGTTTCATCTGACCATATGACATTCTCCCAATCCTCTTCTGGATCATCCAAATGCACTCTAGCAAACTTCAGACGGGCCTGGACATGTACTGGCTTAAGCAGGGGGACACGTCTGGCACTGCAGGATTTGAGTCCCTGGCGGCGTAGTGTGTTACTGATGGTAGGCTTTGTTACTTTGGTCCCAGCTCTCTGCAGGTCATTCACTAGGTCCCCCCGTGTGGTTCTGGGATTTTTGCTCACCGTTCTTGTGATCATTTTGACCCCACGGGGTGAGATCTTGCGTGGAGCCCCAGATCGAGGGAGATTATCAGTGGTCTTGTATGTCTTCCATTTCCTAATAATTGCTCCCACAGTTGATTTCTTCAAACCAAGCTGCTTACCTATTGCAGATTCAGTCTTCCCAGCCTGGTGCAGGTCTACAATTTTGTTTCTGGTGTCCTTTGACAGCTCTTTGGTCTTGGCCATAGTGGAGTTTGGAGTGTGACTGTTTGAGGTTGTGGACAGGTGTCTTTTATACTGATAAGTTCAAACAGGTGCCATTAATACAGGTAACAAGTGGAGGACAGAGGAGCCTCTTAAAGAAGAAGTTACAGGTCTGTGAGAGCCAGAAATCTTGCTTGTTTGTAGGTGACCAAATACTTATTTTCCACCATAATTTGCAAATAAATTCATTAAAAATCCTACAATGTGATTTTCTGGATTTTTTTTTCTCAATTTGTCTGTCAGAGTTGATGTGTACCTATGATGAAAATTACAGGCCTCTCTCATATTTTTAAGTGGGAGAACTTGCACAATTGGTGGCTGACTAAATACTTTTTTCCCCCACTGTATATGGCCAATATACCACGGCTAAGGGCTGTATCCAGGCACTCGGTGTTGCTTCGTGCATACAACAGCCCTTAGCCCTGGTATATTGGCCATATACCACACCCACCCGGGCCTTATTGCTTAAAAATAACAATAATCTACCAACACATCAGGATTGTCAGCCAAAGCAGTTAATACGCCTGTGGTGTTCTAGCTAGTTACCTGATGAAGCTGGCGATGTACACGTTGACGAACGTGGCCATGAGGTACTGGCAGTCGAAGCGGTCCATGATGCCACCGTGACCGGGGATGGTGTTGGCAAAGTCCTGGAATGACAATAACAGGCCAGAGGGACATGATGACATCAGAGCAATAGGGCATCAGAGCAGAGGACAACATAACACACAGCTTGTGCACTGTGGAGGCCCTTTGCTCAAGCAAAGTCCAAATAAGTCAATGCACAGCTTGCATGAAACTGCAGAGGATCACAAACAAAGTTGAACAACCAAGTGATTCCAGAAGCATAGATCATGAGCACTGCCAACTGAGAGGCTACTCAAATCTAGTGAGTCCACCGGGCCCTGTAATAACAGTGGTGAGGTGTTCTGACAGTCACCTTGATCTTGAAGGCCCTCTTAAAGCCGCTGGCAAAGAAGCCTCCGAAAGGTCCCATGAGGGAGGCAAAGGCAGACAGGGAGATGCTGTGAATCTGGAATGGGTAGAGGCGCAGTGTGGGCTGGAGAGAGAGGGAGAAAGAGAGGGGGGGGGGCGAGTGAGAGAGAGAGGTGTTAAACTACAGTCTCACATATGGTCAAACAGTTTATGCAAAAAGAGGAGAAATAAGGAGACAGGATTTAGGACTGTTTTGAAGGCCCTCGGATCAATGTTGTTTTTTGGGGGGGGAACTCAGACGGGGTCTCAACTTACAAACGAGGTAGAGTAGTAGAATACAGGTGCAATTTCAAAAATGTTTCTCTGTCAGCTAACATGTTTTTAGATTGGTAAATTTGTCTAGTGGCCAGCTATCTAAACTTGTAGTAATCAAGGTTGAATTAGTGACCAGGGGGCATTGATTTTGTTAGTCACTCTCACTCAAATATCATATTAAAAACTGCAAACATTTCTCTCCACCCCATGGCAAAATGTGTAGAATTGCAGCAAACTAGCTTTATAACAGCAACCTTTTCTCTACACACCATAGCCAAAATGTGTAAAATGGAACAAAAAATGTTTTCTCTCTGGGGCAAGTTAGACCAGACAGATCAGAAACAGAGACCAGCCAGACAGAGGACAGATCATGCTCACCCATCCAGTGAGGGACTCAAGGGCAGCAGGCAGGGCATAGTCCTGCAGCTGGAACAGGTCAGAGGGCTCACAGTCCACCTCAAAACTGTTATGGTCGCTGTTGAACGCCACCGGACACACAAAGAAGCTGTAGCCCGCCATCACATAGGACAACTGGAGAGAGGAGGACAAAGGGAGTAAGATAATTGGACTTGTGGGGAATTTAAAGGAAAGCTTTAGCACTTAGTTATGGCAATGGTCATTTCTTACCAGGATCCCAAATATAACAGTAGAAAAGAATCCACCAATGAAGCCTTCCCAAGTCTTCTTAGGAGACAGCTGAATGGAACACAGTCACATTAACACATTAAAGAGTGTTCAAATGGTATCCCTTTTGCAAAATGCCACAAGCCTTGGCAGATGCAACATACCTATTACATATTCAATGACAATAATATTAGATAGGCTCGCCATGTTGCCTGTTGATGTTGACCATAGTTGTGTGACTGACAGTGCCAGTCTTGCTAACCTTAATGAGTGGAGTACGTCCAAAGAAGAAGCCAAACATGTAGGCCATGATGTCATTGCAGATCACACAGGAGATGGGCACGATGAACCTAGACAGAGAAGGAGAGAGGAACTGGTATAAACAACTGGGGCATATTCAATGGGGTGTTACATAAATATGTTGTGCACAGAGCATGTCTCTTCTACACAGTACAAGCCCATGATGTGGACCAACCTAACACCCTAATGCACTTATCATTTCCATCACATGGTTGTAGTGCAAGCCACAATTACATCAGCTAATAGCATTTTCACTCTGCAGTCAGTTCTCCCACTAGAGGTCTTCATGGAGCCACCTGTACCCGAGAACCGATTCGGGATCTGAACGGATTGGTTCGGATCTGATATGATTGTCACTGGTCTCGGGTATGTGTAATTTGAACTGACCGTACAGATCTGAACGTGACTGCTGCAAGACATAGAGATATAGAGAGAAATGGTATCATTTATGCTGCTGCTATTGCTTTTCATGAGAGTGGAGCGTGTTGCTCGCCACTCACAAGTCATCAAAGCGGCAATAGGCTACAGTCAGAGCCTTCATGTGTGGCAAAAGTTAGGAGATATCTAATCAATGGAACATGGAATTTAAAAAACAGAATTAAAAGTTAAAGGAGCAGGATAGGTTACAACGACCAAGAGCCAATAGGTAGGCTGCTACTTAATATTCTAAATGAAGTTGTCGTTATTTGTAACTGTAGGATGAGAAAGCGCATGAACTGCAGCCTCAAATAGCTTCACTAACTTCTCCCGGTTGGATGACGGAGACAGACAGGGACATTCCTTACCAGATCATTCCCTCAAACAGGTTGTGGATGATGAGGTGGGACTGGGTCACAACGATCAGCAGAGTTACATGAGTCCAGCCAAACTGACATGGAGAACAGGCAGGGAGAAAAACATAATATACACTGTCTTATATTGTGTATTATAGGATCTCTATGGAGAAAATTGAGATCAAGGAACCCAAAAGTTGATAGAAAATATGATTCAATTACCGTGGTATTTACACATACACCCCATCTTTGCTTATATCTAAGTGTTAATGACATGAATGCCATTTGGCAGAGCAATCCTTACTGATAGATGAGTCATCATTGGTCTGTGGTCTTTGCAACAACACAAACATATCCTAGAACCCCTCAAATTAAAATCTGGACCTCGAAGCCAGTTCCCACTGCTTTCTTTCCATTCTTCCCCTCTAATGAGGCACTGATTTAGACCTGAGACACCAGATGGGTGCAATTAATTATCAGGTAGAACAGAAAACCAGCAGTACTCCGGACCTCATAGGGTAAGATTTGAATAGCGCTGTAGACGAAGCCCTCAGCCCAGTCAGTGTGTGCCATTTTGCAGATCAGCTTTAATGCAGTATGCAGTTTTTAGCACGCAGTCCCTCTCACTGATTGATGTGTTACTGCAGTATTCAGACCCCTGGTCTTTTTCCACATTTTGTTACATTAGTCTTATTCGAAAATTGATTAAATAAATTGTTTTCCTCATCAATCTACACACAATACCCCATAATGACAAAGCAAAAACAGGATCTATAAATTTTTGCTAATTAATAAAAAATAAAAACGGAAATATCACATTTACATAAGTATTCAGACCCTTTACTCAGTACTTTGTTGAAGCACCTTTGGCAGCGATTACAGCCTCAAGTCTTCTTGGGTGTGACGCTACAAGCGTGGCACACCTGTATTTGTCGAGTTCCACCCATTCTTACAAAAAAAAAAAAAAAAGATCCTCTCAGCCTCTGTCAGGTTGGATGGGGAGCGTTGCTGCACAGCTATTTTCAGGTCTCTTCAGACATGTTCGATCGGGTTCAGGTTCAGGCTCCGGCTGGGCCACTCAAGGACAGGTCTTGAGCGCTCTGGAGCAGGTTTTCATCAAAGATCTCTCTGTACTTTGCTCCATTAATATTTTCCTCGATCCTGACTAGTCTCCCAGTCCCTGCCGCTGAAAAACATCCCCACAGCATGATGCTGCCACCACCATGCTTCACCGTAGGGATGGTGCCAGGTTTCCTCCAGCCGTGACGCTAGGCATTGAGGCCAAAGAGTTAAATCTTGGTTTCATCAGACCAGAGAATCTTGTTTCTCATGGTCTTAGAGTCTTTAGGGGCCTTTTGGCAAATTCCAAGCGGGCTGTCATGTGCCTTTTACATGTGCCACTACCATAAAGGCCTGATTGTTGAAGTGTTGTAGAGATGGTTGTCCTTCTGAAAGGTTCTCCCATGAACTCTAGAGCTCTGTCAGAGTGACCATCAGGTTCTTGGTCACCTCCCTGACCAAGGCCCTTCTCCCCCGATTGCTAAGTTTGACCGGGCGGCCAGCTCTAGGAACAGTCTTGGTGGTTCCAAATATCTTCCATTTAAGAATGATGGCGGCTAATGTGTTCTTGGGGACCTTCAATGCTGCAGACATTTTTTGGTACCCTTCCCCAGATCTGTGCCTCGACACAATCCTGTCTCGGAGCTCTACGGACAATTCCTTCGATCTCATGGCTTGGTTTTTGCTCTGACATGCACTGTCAACTGTGGGACCTTATATAGACAGGTGTGTGCCTTTCCAAATCATGTCCAATCAATTAAATTTACCACAGGCAGACTCCAATGAAGTTGTAGAAACACCTCAAGGATGATCAATGGAAACAGGATGCACCTGAGCTCAATTTTGAGTCTCATAAAGAGGCTGAATACTTATGTAAATAAGGTTTTTTATTTTTAATACATTTTCTAAAATTTCTAAAAACCTGTTTTTGCTTTGTCATTATGGGGTATTGTTTGTAGATTGCAAAGGATATATATATATTTTTAATCCATTTTAGAATAAGGCTGTAACGTAACAAAATATGGAACAAGTCAAGGGGTCTGAATACTTTCCGAAGGCACTGTATGTTTCCTTGCAGCGCTCAGCTCTGTCACTGCCTTACATGGTCAAGCCAGAGCCCAGAACACAGAGCCTCTAGCTGTGTGTGTGTGTGTGTGTGTGTGAGAGAGACAAAGGCAGCAGCAGCAGATAAAGTGCCTTCAGAAAGTATTCAAACCCCTTTTTTCCACATTTTGTTGTGTTACAAAGTGGGATAAAAATTGATTTAATTGTCATCACAAAAAACCAATGTCCGAGTGGAAGAAAAATACTAACATTTGTAAAAAAAATAAAAAAAATAAACACTAATATATCTTGACTAGATAAGCATTGAACCCCGAGTCAATACATGTTAGAATCAGCATTGGCAGCAATTACAGCTGGGAGTCTTTCTGGGTAAGTCTCTAAGAGCTTTCCACACATGGATTGTGCCATTTTCCAATCAAAATTCTTCAAGCTCTGTCAAATTGGTTGTTGATCATTGCTAGACAACCATTTTTCAGGTCTTGCCATAGATTTTCAAGCAGATGTAGGTCAAAAATGTAACTCGGCCTGTGCTTATCTCCATTCAGTTTCTTTTTTTTTCTTTTTTTTTTTTTACTCCCCAGTCCTTAACGATTACAAGCATACCCATAACATGATGCAGCCACCACTATGCTTGAAAATATGGAGAGTGACACTCAGTAATGTGTTGTATTGGATTTGCCCCAAACATAACACTTTGTATTCAGGACAAAAAGTGAATTGCTTTGCCACATTTTTTGCAGTATTACTTTAATGCCTTGTTGCAAACAGGATGCATGTTTTGGAATATTTGTTTTCTGTACAGGCTTCCTTCTTTTCATTCTGTCAATTACGTTAGTATTGTGGAGAAACTACACAGTTGTTGATCCATCCTCAGTTTTCTCCTATCACAGCCATTAAACTACACTGTTTTAAAGTCACCATTGGCCTCATGGTGAAATTCCTGAGCGGTCTCCTTCCTCTCCGGCAACTGAGTTAGGAAGGACGCCTGTATCTTTGTAGTGACTGGGTGTATTAATAACTTCACCATGCTCAAAGGGATATTCAATGTCTGCTTTTTATGTGACCCCCCCCCCAAGTATGCAAATGTTTTAATCAAACTATTATATTAATCTGACTATCCACAATACAGTGAGGGAAAAAAGTATTTAATCCCCTGCTGATTTTGTATGTTTGCCCACTGACAAAGAAATGATCAGTCTATAATTTTAATGGTAGGTTTATTTGAACAGTGAGAGACAGAATAACAACAAAAAAATCCAGAATAACACTGTCAAAAATTTTATAAATTGATTTGCATTTTAATGAGGGAAATAAGTATTTGACCCCCTCTCAATCAGGAAGATTTATGGCTCCCAGGTGTCTTTTATACAGGTAATGAGCTGAGATTAGGAGCACACTCTTAAAGGGAGTGCTCCTAATCTCAGTTTGTTACCTGTATAAAAAGACACCTGTCCACAGAAGCAATCAATCAATCAGATTCCAAACTCTCCACCATGGCCAAGAACAAAGAGCTCTCCAAGGATGTCAGGGACAAGATTGTAGACCTTCACAAGGCTGGAATGGGCTACAAGACCATCGCCAAGCAGTTTGGTGAGAAGGTGACAACAGTTGGTGTGATTATTCGCAAATGGAAGAAACACAAAATAACTGTCAATCTCCCTCGGCCTGGGGCTCCATGCAAGATCTCACCTCGTGGAGTTGCAATGATCATGAGAACGGTGAGGAATCAGCCCAGAACTACACGGGAGGATCTTGTCAATGATCTCAAGGCAGCTGGGACCATAGTCACCAAGAAAATAATTGGTAACACACTACGCCGTGAAGGACTGAAATCCTGCAGCGCCCGCAAGGTCCCCCCCCTGCTCAAGAAAGCACATATACAGGCCCATCTGAAGTTTGCCAATGAACATCTGAATGATTCAGAGGAGAACTGGGTCAAAGTGTTGTGGTCAGATGAGACCAAAATCGAGCTCTTTGGCATCAACTCAACTCGCCGTGTTTGGAGGAGGAGGAATGCTGCCTATGACCCCAATAACACCATCCCCACCGTCAAACATGGACGTGGAAACATTATGCTTTGGGGGTGTTTTTCTGCTAAGGGGACAGGAAAACTTCACCGCATCAAAAGGGACGATGGAGGGGGCCATGTACCGTCAAATCTTGGGTGAGAACCTCCTTCCCTCAGCCAGGGCATTGAAAATGGGTCGTGAATCGGTATTCCAGCATTTCAATGACCCAAAACACATGGCCAAAGCAACAAAGGAGTGTCTCAAGAAGAAGCACATTAAGGTCCTGGAGTGGCCTAGCCAGTCTCCAGACCTTAATCCCATAGAAAATCTGTGGAGGGAGCTGAAGGTTCGAGTTGCCAAACGTCAGCCTTGAAACCTTAATGACTTGGAAAATATATGCAAAGAGGAGTGGGACAAAATCCCTCCTGAGATGTGTGCAAACCTGGTGGCCAACTACAAGAAACGTCTGACCTCTGTGATTGCCAACAAGGGTTTTGCCACCAAGTACTAAGTCATGTTTTGCAGAGTTGTCAAATACTTATTTCCCTCATTAAAATGCTAATCAATTTATAACATTTTTTACATGCGTTTTTCTGGATTTTTTTGTTGTTATTCTGTCTCTCACTGTTCAAATAAACCTACCATTAAAATTATAGACTGATCATGTCTGTGTCAGTGGGCAAACGTACAAAATCAGCAGGGGATCAAATACTTTTTTCCCCCTCACTGTAATCGCATTGTGTGCATGTAACCGTACTCCGTGTTTGAAATTCACTGCTCGACTGAGGGACCTTACATATAATTGTATGTGTGGGGTACAGAGATGAGGTAGTCATTCAAAAATCACGTTAAACACTATTATTGCACACATAGTGAGTCCATGCAACATATTACGTGACTTGTTAAGCAAATTTTTACTCCTGAACTTTTAGGCCTGCCATAACAAAGGGGTTGAACGCTTACTCATTTTCTATTAAATTGTAAAAATGTTGAAAAAATTCCACTTTGACATTATCTAAATGTAATAATTTTTTACTTCAGGCAGTAACAACAAAATGTGGAGGAAGTCGAGGGGTGTGAATACTTTCTGAAGGTACTGTAGAGCAGGGGTTCCCACATTCGTTCCCTCAGACCCCCATTACAGCATTGGGGAACGCCCCCCAGCGCGCACGCAACGTCTATTTCAATAGGCACAAGAGCTGTTCATGACAAACTGTTCACGCCCCTCTTGTTGGTGGAGAGAAGATTTTGCAGGTTTAAAGCTACATTTTCTTGCAATTCTATACATCTTTCCATGTCTAATGTTCATTTCATGTGATACTTGAGTGACTCAAACATCACAACAAAATCTATGGGCTAAAAAACATTGAGGTAAAAACGTTAGCTGACATGGGCAAGTTGAGTTGATCTGGACATTTCTGACAAGTTATAAATAGCTCTCTAAGGTATGCAATGACTGACAAAAGAGGAAAACTGATGCACAACCCAATTTCGAAATTGCACCTTTCAAGAGTAAGTTGAAAGCAGGAATGGGGGGGGGGGGGGGGGAGAAGAACCACTGCTGTAGATGAGGCCCTGGCCTTATGTCCTGGAACGGACCCAGAACACTGCTGGAGGGCTTCCATGTTTTTAGGCCGGGCCACATCAATAATGTAGTAGCAGCCAAGAGGAAGAGGGCTCATATAATATAGAACACACAAACACTATACCCAATACACTACACATACACTATGCCCAATACACTACGCAACACAAACACTATGCCCAATACACTACACATACACTATGCCCAATACACTACGCAACACAAACACTATGCCCAATACACTACACATACACTATGCCCAATACACTACGCAACACAAACACTATGCCCAATACACTACACATACACTATGCCCAATACACTACGCAACACAAACACTCACCATGTAGAACTGCAGGCGATAGTGTTTCTTCACCAGGCTCAGCACAAACATGCAGAAACCTGCACAACACCAAGAAGAGAGTAACAAGTCAACAAAGCATTTTGGATCAGCCTGTTTTTAGTAGTTATTATTGTCATTCTTTGCTTTCAAACTGAGGACCAGCAACTGCACCCTTGTAATCATCCTAGCCATGTTTACATCACAAACTCAATCTTTAGTGACGCGTAAATGCCAATTTGGTTCTGGGTTCCGAGGTTAAAAGCCTGCCAAAGTCAGTAACAGATAAAAAGATAATCACATGAATGTGCAGCATTGAACTCTTCATTTCTTACAGTTCCAAGAATTCTATTCATTCCCAAAGCAGAGTAAGAAGACACCCTTCTGAGTAAGATGCTTTTATTGAATCAAACAAATTAGATCAAGCCAATGTGACCATAATCCAGTTAGGACAACTTGGATACGTGAATATTTCTACATCCATCCAATTCACATCCTTTTGTTACATAGGCTTCATCAGAGCAGAACAAAGCTAGCCTGGTCCCAGATCTATTTGTGCTGTCTTGCCAACTATGGTCATTGTGGTGGCCACATAACAAACAGATCTGGGACCAGGCTAGAACAAAGCACACAGGGTTCTGAGAGTTTGTCTGTATAGAACTACTTGACTCTGTGACCTCCTATATTATCTGGCACTGGGGAGATAGCCCGATTACCTTAAAAGCCTTTCCCTGCCAGCACTTCTACAGTAAACGACCTGGCCTGGTTTTGAAATTTACCCAAAGGGAGGAGTGAACGAAGGAGGGATGGGTATTTACTTTCCTCTCCTTTCAGCTTGAGGCACGGAGTCGAGGTGTGATCATGCAGTCAGAAACAGACGTTAGCGAGTCAAGTGCTGTCAGCCTTTACCACATCCTGCTGCACTGACTGACTGAAAGACGGAGGGTGGAGCAAGTAAAGCTTCCCTCTGAAACTTTTATCATTTTAAAAAGTTGTACCAAACCCTTGGTCAGGTAAAAACTGATAAAAAATGCAGAAGCTCCAACAGTGACTAAAGCAACGCTAAAGGACTCCCCTTCTCCCTCCCTCTCACTCTCAATACTCCCTGAAAGCACTAGATCGATTTCCTGTCTGGCCAGATCAGTGATGATGAAGGAAAACACAAGGAAAGGAAGCTAGTTAGAACTTGAGCCACAGCCTCACCAGTGAGGTACAGGGCGAAGGAGATGAGGCGGTGGTATTTGCTGAGGATGCGCAACGGCTCCTCCCTCTGCACCAGATTAGAGAAGTAGTCCGTCACCGTCTCTCCGTAGAAGAAATAGTTCACACACAGTAGGAAGTACCTGGGGGGAGGATGAGGAAGGGAAGGTGAGGTCAGAACTGTTGAAACAGAACACAGATCAACTGCACTAAGTAGCTGCAGAGTCAGATTGAACATGCACTATGCACTCTAGTCTAGAAAAGTCTGGTGTCATGGTGAACTTTGGGGTTGCATGTGTCTGAAGCCAGTAAGGGACATCATGGGTTCAATAATTACATCAATAATGTTAAGAGCTTTTCACCAGGTTTTTCCAACATAGTGCAATGTGAATGGCAAGAGACCACTGAGCGATCATACTACAAATACCATCACCACTACATTGGCTAAAATCCTATACCTCTATATACACTGATAATTTGATCAGCTAACTAACATGATGGAGTATATCTGCTGATTGGTTTAATAACCTAGATAAACACTATAAACTGGGTAAACATTACCAAGACCAACAAACCTCAGGAAGTCTGCAATGAAATAAAACATGCAATTCATTATTTCAGGTCAACAAATGGTTAGTTGCAGTGTAACCTTAAACACAGACATACAACTGTGTGTGTGTCTCACCAGCTCAACGTTCTGAACCAGGGAAGGTGGTAGGAGTGATATACACTGTAACCGATGTGGATGATCTCTTGGAAGCATTTGATCTGCACACACAGCACCTGGACAGAGACAGATAATCCAATATTACTGCAAATATACAACAGATCTGTAATAAATTACTGAGGTGTGCCGATGACCGTCTGAGTTTTAGTATCATCCCTTTGGTATCAACTACATGGTATTCCCCTACCACACATTTTGATATCGCTCTGACAACAGCATCTGGTCTGTGTATGATTCCTCGTTGCTCAAAACCCATCTAATTTAACCATACACATTTGGACGTCTTGTGCTGCGACTATTTAGTTTTTGTGTTCTCAATTTAGTTCCTGCAGTGTCTGGATGTGGCAGCATGCTATCTCCCTCCCAGCAAGTCCAGCAGAGCATTAAAGCAGAGCAGAGAAGAGCCTGTTATTTCCACTGAGCTACACTCTGAACCTGAAACTATTAAGGACAGACAGAAACAGACAGACCCAATTGAATCCCTTACCCTCTCCTTAGTCTTCCTAACCCTTTGTTTCTGCAGATCTGTAAGGTGTGTAAGCAATATGGTAGAAGCTCCACCACTGCACTGCTTATTCCTATCCTGAACCTACAGATCTGGAAACAGCGAGGGGTTAGGGTCAAGGGAGAGGGAGCGATTTGGGATTGGCTAATAAACTGACTGACAGGAGGCTGAGGGAAGGGAGGAGAAGCACTCACAATCAGCATTAGCACCATGGGGCCCAGGTAGATGATGATGAAGAAGAAGGAGATCATGGCCAGAGTCAGGATCCCTCGCACCCACCAGTTCTTCCATCTGACAACACACACAGTTAATACCCATATACAGTGTAATAGATTGTGAAATGAACACAGTGAAATGAAGAGGTGAACAATAAGCATCCATATCAGTTGTTTGTGTGCACAAAATAATTGCTGGTCAAGACATTCCTAAAGAATGTCAATATAGGCCTACACAGATCAATATGAGTTCTAGTGAGTATAGCAGGTGGTGTTTCATAAGCATTCAATTATCCATGACTGAACAGCAGGATGTTGTTAGGATGGAGGAGCAAACAGAAGATGGTAAATAAAAAATGCAATCCGTTTGTTATGTCCCAAATGGCACCCTATTCCCTATATAGCACACTACTTTTAACAAGAGCCCTATGGGACGCAGACATTATGTTTTGTGAAATGGTCATCTTTCCCTTGTTCCAAACAATTGCCAAATCGGATGTTGTGATTACCATGTGAAGAAAATCTATGTTATTTTGGTAGTGTTTACCGTGAGGACAGTCCAGACAGGGCTTTGTTGAGGACCTCGGGGGTGTCATCAGCAGGGACAGGCACCTCAGGGAGCCCTGTATCAGGCTTGGTCTCACTGTCAGACGCCCCATCCTTCTCTGCTTTCCCTTCATTCTCAGATCCCTACAGAGAGAGAGAGAGAGAGAGAGAGAGAGAGAGAGAGAGAGAGAGAGAGATGGGGAGAAAGTGAGTCATACAATGTAAACAAACACAGCTAGCTACCTATGAGGAATGTTCTCCCACTTCCTTTCTAGGTCAATTTTTTATGTCAGTGAACAAAAACATTGCAAGCAAGCTTGTAGAGCTTTTCTGCTTTGGTGTTAGGATATTCTGCGTGATAAATGTAGGTCTGATGGTGACAAAGTAATCAATATATTTCAGTGTCTGTCTGCCCCCTTGATGCTCCGAGAGCTTGATGCTGTGAAACTGCATTAATCCGGATGACCCTCTGCTTTTCCATGGCAACAGCCACCAAAATGTGTAATCAGGAGACAGCAGACACTAGACTGCTGTGATGAAGTCATCGTTGTCGCTCCCCTCTGCCCTCTCCCCCCGAGCACTACCAAAGTTACACTGTCGTCTAACCTCCTAATAACACAACAGATGGCTTTTAGCCTACACTCTTCCTGTCTTGGTTGCAAACACACACACAGTACACACACACACACAGCAGTAGCTATCAAGCTGATGGATCCTCCAGGCTCGCTGGTTTCCATGGTGACCATATCACGTCAGTCAGGATGCCCTGGTTAAAAATAGCCCCTCCTTTCAACACTCCTGCTACTGAAGAGACCATTTTCCCCTCACAGTTTCCTGTGAGGGAAAGAGTAGCACTACACTCTTTCCCGTTTCACATCATCAGAAGCAAAAGATTCATTCAACCATGTTAAGTAATGGAGGCCTATGCCATTTCTACCTTGTCTTTTCACCTAGGCTACCACATTAATAGTCTTTTGACCTAGGCTACCCACTCACCCATACATACCGTACACACAAACAAGCCAGAAATAGTCACGTTTCCTCTGGGTATAAATAGGTTAGATCTATTTTCCAGTGTCCTTAAACTATGTCACAGTTACATCATTTGACTCATATACAAACCCCCCCGCCAATCATGGCCTATTCTTCTAACTTTGGCTCAACATGGCTCATACAATTTCAACTAAAATAAAGTGAGCGTGCACATGACAGAGACACCATGTTCTCCATGGAAAGTTGCATCTACAGTCAGGGAACTCCTACATTGACGTCTGACTCTAAACTAAACCAAACCAAACCACAGACAGCGCCACAGGCCTATACCACTAGCACAACACAGCTGCATGGGGCCTGTCTGGCAGTTGTTAACACTATCCTTCTATTCAGCAGTCAAACACAGATTTGGGGGTAATGTCAATTACTGATCAAAAACCACAATGCAAGGCCCTATGCCTAGCCAGGAATGCAAGGCGAAGTGAAGGGGGTAACACAGCATGTCTTGTAAGGACACAGAAAATCGAATAAAGCCCCACAGTGGAGCCTGTGTGTCATATGAGAGAACAGGCAAGACACCAAAGCAGCTGGACACTGTCTATTTTTATTAGAACGTATGAACACCCTTGACTTTAATGTATAACTATGTTTCTTTCTTCAAAAGAGCCCACAACTGGCATCATACACACTAGCTAAGTTGAGGCCTCCATGGAAGTATATTTGTATGTGGCTACAAATGTGTATGTGGGTTGTCTTTCCTGCAGAGTTGATTGGCCATTTCATTTCAGCCTAGTTACCTTGAGTTGAAATCCAACCCATACATTGGAAAAACTAGGCAGAGCTTATGACTAAATTGAAGGTCGTTCCACCTCAAATAGCACAAGAAAGAGAATTGACACCCACCCTCTCAGATTGTTCTGAAATCGTTTCTGTTGATAGAAACAGATAAGATTAGCATTCCTGCAACATTATTTTCTTGAAATATAATTTTTATCGAGTTAATTGATTTCTCAAAGATCAAATTATATTTAAAATACAATGTTGCTGGAATGCTAATCGTACCTGTTTCTAACTACAGAAATGATTTCAGAACAATCTGAGATGGTGGGTGTTATGGCTTGCTGAAAAGACATGGAACGACCCTCGATTTAGTCAATTGAATACGTAGTTAACTAGCTACATCTAGCTACCTAACTTTAGCTGCCCTCTTTGACCTGGCATCAAACGCAAACGTTAGATAAGATAGCTAACCACTGTAGTAAAGGAGTGCCTTTCACGCCAGAAATAATGTTGGCAGCAAATCAACATCCATATCATGTAGTTAGCATGTTAGCTATGTTTCGATAGCAAGTTAACGGTAGCTAGCGCAAATTAAATTGTAGATGTGGCTGGCCAACTAGCTAGCTTGCCTTTGACACTAGACATAGTTAACTAACCAGTTAAAACATTTACTATAATTATTTCTAGCCACTATCATAATTTGTGGCAAGGTCTCCCTGCATCATATGCATGTAGCGGATGTTTATCTTGCCTTGGCTAGCTAAACGGCAGTCCATTAACACTCCGTACCTTGTCTTCGGATTGTTGATGTTGTAGGTCGTTTTCCGTCGTTCCGCGGTGCCGTAGCTCTGTCATTTGTGCAACTCTTGTCCCAGCTACTACAGAGGACTGTCTGTTACAGCTTGCCAGCTATCTTACAACCTTTGCTAGCTTGCTAAAGAATAAATATGACCGTTTCGTTCGACAGAAATTATCCTTTGCCACGGATGATGCACTTTTCTCTCACTGCTTGCGTGCCCCTCCCACAGAGTCGTCTCCCGACGTTGCTAAATGGTCTGAGTTGCATTCTGTATCGCGACGTTTTGTAACGTTGCTTTGCAATGGGTGCGAAACACTCGTGAACATCCCTTTCAAATGCAATGCAAATAGTCCGGGTAGCCATTTGATTAGCTGTTCAGGAGTCTTATGGCTTGGGGGTAGAAGCTGTTAAGAAGCCTTTTGGACCTAGACTTGGCGCTCCGGTACCAGAGAGAACAGTCTATGACTAGGGTGGCTGGAGTCTTTGACAATTTTTAGGGCCTTCCTCTGACACCGCCTGGTATAGAGGTCCTGGATGGCAGGAAGCTTGGCCCCAGTGATGTACTGGGCCGTACGCACTAGTGCAATAGAGATTGCATAATCTGTGGATCTGTTGGGGCGGTATGCAAATTGGAGTGGGTCTAGGGTTTCTGGGATAATGGTGTTGATGTGAGCCATGACCAGCCTTTCAAAGCCGGTGTAGTACGATTCAATCTTAGTCCTGTATTGACGCTTTGCCTGTTTGATGGTTCGTCGGAGGGCATAGAGAGCTTTCTTGTAAGTGTCCGGGTTATTGAAAGCGGCAGCTCTACCCTTTAGCTCAGTGCGGATGTTGCCTGTAATCTATGGCTTCTGGTTGGGGTATGTACGTACGGTCACTGTGGGGACGACGTCATCGTTGCACTTATTGATGAAGCCAGTGACTGATGTGGTGTACTCCTCAATGCCATCGGAAGAATCCCGGAACATATTCCAGTCAGTGCTAGCAAAACAGTCCTGTAGCTTAACATCTGCATCATCTGACCACTTCTTTATTGACCGAGTCACTGGTGCTTCCTGTTTTAGTTCTCTAGTCTTGTCTAGTCTAGACTTGAATGAGTTCCAGAGTTGGTCTGCTGGTTGTGGTTTTTGGGTTGCGGTTTTCATATACATTCATTTATATATCACTCTGTTGGTAGTGGGTTAAAATTAATGTATATCTAATCTATCCCGGCTGACAACGGGGGCATTTTGAAAATTAAATGTTTTTGTTTTGCAATTGGAATTTTTCACACTAAGTGGCAGCAAAGGCCCACAAATGTATTGAATGAGGACTGTTTGAGATGCTGTGTGTGAGTGTGAGCGTGCATGTGTGAGTGCGTGTGTGTGTGTGCATGCGTGCTTGTTTGTGTGCATGTGTGCCTCTCCCTCCCCAGCAGCACAGAGATTTGTTCAGCCCTGTGGCGTGACAGGGGCACAGAGCTGTATAAATACTTAATGGCCTCCTGCAGAGTCAGAGTAAATGGAGAGCAGCATTGTAGACTAAACACAAGAGCTACGTTTTTAAGCTTCTCAGGGTGTTTCCCCTCTTTTCTCCTCTTAATATTCAATGTTCATTAGAGAGTAAAGCGTCATCCATGGAGCTTCAAAGTCTGAAAAGTAGGCTAAGAATTAACTACAATTTCTACAAAAACATCAGTGCTCATGTGAAATAGGCCTACTGTGAAGTCATGTTTTTTTGTTACTTTATTTGATTCTTGCATAAATTTAGTTAGTTATGTACTTGAAAATGTATCAATGGATCAATTCGGCACATTTGGGCAGACTTAATACAATATAGTCCAGTATTGCAACTCCTCACTGGATCAATCTGAAACTTTGCACACACACTGCTGCCATCTATTGGCCATAATCTAAATTGTGCCTAAACTGCAATATTATATTGTGGCATTTCTCTTGCATTTCAAAGAAAAAGAAAACACGTTTTTTTGTTTGTATTATCTTTTACCAGATCGAATGTGTTATATTCTCCTACATTAATTTCACATTTACACAAACTTCAAAGTGTTTCCTTTCAAATGGTAACAATAATATGCATATCCTTGCTTCAGGTCCTGAGCTACAGGCAGGTAGATTTGGGTATGTCATTTTAGGCGAAAATTGAAAAAAAGTGTCCGATCCTTAAGAGGTTAATGTATCTAAAGAAGAATTAGAAGAAGAATATATTAGAATTATAGAGAGTTGTAAAGATCCATATATTTCTCGGTTCATAACTGGTAAAATATTTTTTTTCTCCTAAAATGGTAACTGTTTATTACATTTGTTAAAGTAACACAGAAAGCAATTTTGTAACCAATTTCACATTGTTACATTTCATGCTTGGATTATGACTGCAGTGTTGTGTTTGTGATCTGTGATCTGTGGTATGTGGCGTTACTTCCCCAGGTTGCTGCAATATGTGCCACCCGACTTTGCCCAGTCATGTTATATTGCGTATTGCGTATTGGGTGACCCCCCCCCCCCCCCACGGTGGTGTGATGTCTTGCTGTACTGTATGTCAGTGGCAGAATTTGGCTGGGGATCCTCAGGAGCTCCAACACGACTGCAGGGCTCTGGGACATCTGCAATGCAGAAGTCTATATATAGCGGTGGAGAAAGGGTGCCAGAGAAACTGAAAAAGAGGGGGGGAGAGAGAGAGAGAGAGAGAGAGAATACATATTTGCATTAATTTGACCCTCAATTTGCCAATTTCCTGTTTTGACCTGCTGTTCTCTCCATCAGCAATATGTTGCTAAAGAAAAGTTAAGAAATCCCTTGGACCCTTTGAGAAGCCAAAAAACAGGACTCATCAGTGGATAAAACTGCCCTGAGGCACAGACCGAAAGATTGTTAAGTTGGTAACTTCGGCTAGATATAATCAGTTTCCTCTGCCACATCTGCTAATGAATTCTGTAGTACAGGATTATGAAAAAACCACAACAAAGCCCAATAACAGATTGTATTTGAAAATAACAATAATTTCATACCTTGATTACATTGAGACATAATCACATATGTCTATTTATTTATTCGTGGGAATACTTGGGAACAGATTTCCTAAATTTTACTAATTATTTTAGCTGAATTTCTGCTGATTTTATGGTCTTTTTTACTTTGAGGGGGCCATAAAAAATCACCCGCAGGGCCGCCTGTTGCCAGCCCCTGATGTAATACTTATCCTGGACACAGAGGAATCTTTTCTCTGATTAGCAGGATGTCTTGGTAAGCGCATTACCTTATTGTAATGTAGACATATATAATAGGAATAGTATGTCATATAATTAGGCTACTGACCCTTTCCCAATGTCTCAGTGAACCGTACTGGTGAGAAAGGGTTATAAGCAGTGGCAAGGTCAGAGAACTGTCTGCCTGCCAGTAACCATCTTTTAATTCAGTTTCTAGTGGAAATGTAACATGGTTAGAGATTACTGAAGCCAAGCTTTACGACTTTAACGCAGCAGGTCTCAGGAGTGCAGTAAGAAGAAGATGCAATTAAATGATGTATGCATTTCAAGAACAACAAATTTGCTAACAGCATATCTCCCCACGTCATGCCGAGCTGCGCGGCCGCCAGACAAATCAACGACAGCTCCACCACGGCCCAGCCATAGACCACAGAAAGGGACTGATCACATTGCTCTATTTTTTTTTATCAATCTGTCTGGTTACTGTGCTATATTTTGCTGTGTGTATGTGTGTTCTTTTTTTCCATCCTTGTGGGGACCAGAAGTCCTCACCAGGATAGTAAAACAAGGAACATTCTGACAATTGGGGACATTTCGCCAGTCCCCACAAGGAAAAAGGCTTTCTTAAGTTTATGGGTTACGGTTAGGGATTAGGGGTTAGGGTTAGGGTTAGGAGTTAGGGTTGGGGTTAAGGTTAGGGGTTAGGGGTTAAGTTTAGGGCTAGGGTAATGTCTAGGGTTACGGTTAGGGTTAGGTTAAGGGTGGTGTGTGTGTGTGTGTCTGTGTGTGTGTGTGTGTGTGTGTGTCAAAATAGGTTATTATATCCCAGGCCACCATACAGACAAGGCTTTAATGGTTTACATGTGTTCTTCATCTCAGATTCTTCACAGCAAACCATAGAAAATCATGCAAAAGTATCAAATGAGGGTCCACTCTGTCTGTGCTTCTCCTTGTTCTCCTCTCCTCTCCTGTCTGTCTCTGTCTGTCTGTCCTGTCTGTCTGTCTGTCTGTCTGTCTGTCTGTCTGTCTGTCTGTCTGTCTGTCTGCTCGTGTCTGTCTGTCTGTCTTATGTCTAGTGTGTCTGTCTGTCTCTCTGTCCTCAGTGTTCTCTGCTTTCACTCTTGTCTGTCTATGCTGAGCCCAGCAACATCCTCGTTGTGAATGAATAAACACATATATATGTTTTATTGTAATACATGATGACCTGTGTTTAATAAAAGCACTGTATTAATGTCTAGTAGATGTATATTGGCTTCTGTGCTATAAAAGCCAATCAAACTACTTTTTAGGCTATATTGCAAGTTAGTGCCTGTCATATGTGTTCCCCTGAATCCCCCCTTCCGTAATTAAGTGTTAATTAGCCTCCTATTTCATACGATATACAGCCAAAATATGAACTGGCAGCAGTAGGCTACATCTTTCAGTTTGTGTAACAGTGTCTCCCTCTGTTTTCTTCCTACAGCGACTGCACTGTCCTCTGCTGCAGCAGCAGCTGATGATCTGTCTGTGCTAAAGCCTAGCATAATTTCTCACAGACACAGTCACAGCACTCAGACCAGCAGAAGAACCAGAACTTTCAGAAAATAAGTTGGTTAATTTTACACATTCAGCAGCGTTGGCCTCAATAGCCTTTTTTTTGGTCTCTCAAACCTTTTTCGGCACCACCTTTACATTTTTTTTTTTTTACAATCCATGATCTTGGCTGACTAACTGATGACAGAGAGTCAGAGTGGGTCTCTTTGCTGATGCGCGTTTGACTGAATGTGAATTTGTGCAACCTCAGCTCATCCAATCAGAAAATTGGGGACCGTCCTTTGCACACTGATTAGCCAAATGCTCATTATAGATTATTATGACAACAGAGAACTTGTGCAGAAATCATTAAAAAAAGTATTGATTTCTGTTTCATTGACTTGTCCTTTTTGCTGATAGCCCTTTGTCAATGCACTGATGCCTTTTTGCCCACACAGTATTACTGAGTGGCTGTGCAAAGAGTAAAGACTTCCGTTCTGAGATAAAGTAT